ATTTTGTTGCTATCCAAAAGATTGGTAGTTCAAACTTATGAGTCACTCCAAGAGAGAAAGACCTGTATGTCTTTCTAGAAATAAAGACTATGGGAGAATGAACTCTGTCTTAAAGGTCTCTTTGGGCTAGAATTTAGTTGATAGCAATGTGTTGGTTTCATGGGTTATATTTTCCTTCATTTTGTTAATTCAGGTCCCATATATTTTGAAAGGACATACTTAGAGTTGCATATTCTTGGTGAATAGACCTACTTATTATGATATTTTAATAAAGAGATAAATACAAATACATAGGTAAGTAAACCTTTGACCAGTTACTGTGTTGAAAGAAACCTAGTCAATCTCTTCTTCTGTGATTTAAAGCTTCTGGAATCTGCTGTAAAGTCAACTATGAGTGAGTTTCAACTCAATGGCACATAACAGTAGTAGGAATCTTAAGAGGTGATAAAGTAAATTTGGAGATTATTAAGGACTTGACACCAAAGACAAGCACTTTCATGGAGATCACCTGGTACAAGATCCACATTGAGGGATCAGTGCTGTTCGGGTGAGAATAACAGCTAACGTGTGGGAATTCCACATGAACAAGACAGGAGAAATGTATGTCCTGACATAATTTTTCTCCCTTTGTTTGGTAACACAATTTTCATTAGCTTAATGTAATCAGTAGCCATAGGATATTTGAATCTGTTATGTCTTCCTTCCATACATAAATACTGGGGTTTAGAATGTAAGAGAGGAGAAATAAAAGTTAAGAAGTGGTTCTAAACAGACTTATAAATTGAAGATTGGTGTGGCACTGGGTTTTCTTCCATTAAGACTTACTTCTAAATGATCATCATTTGCTAAATATAATAGTTTTCTCTTAAGATGGATAGGTAGTTCTGTGATAGTATGCTGTACTTAGAAGTATTTTATAATTAAGTTTCTAGGTGCTGTTAAGTCAGTTCTGACTCTATACACAGAATAAAATGTACAATAAAATAAATGTTGCCAGATGCTGTACCAGTAAGATAGAAAATATTTCATAGTTAAATGTTATTGTTGTTGTTGTTGTGTACCTTCAAGTTGGAACCAATCCATAGCTGACCCTCCAGCAGGGTTTCAAAGGCAATTAATAGTACAGGAGGAGATTGCCCATCTTCTCCTACATATTAATATTTATTTGCTTTGCAAAATATCTGATGCTCTTTTACTGTTTACAAGCAAGTTGTAGGAGTCTTTCATTTCTTTATTAGCAATGTTAATACCTTAAGGTTGTTAATTTGTTAGGATATATGACATTGTAGTTTTTACTCTCCACTTCTGGCAAACAATGGGTGTAAAAGTTTTCTATGCTTTAATTATTCCTTTTTCTTCTCAGTTTTTCTCGTCATGCTCTGTTCCACTTGACGTGAAAAAAGAGTCATGACTGATTCACTAGTGTACGTATTTTCATTAACCCAAAGACTGACTTCCTATTGAATGATTTTGCTGTAATTGTCCTTTGAAAAGAAAATTAAACACCTGACCCTCTTCACAGTCCTTTCTTTCTTTCTTTCTTTCTTTCTTTATCCTGAGACAATTAGAGTTGGCTACTGAATAAGGAAATCACAGATACTTCCTGGAAACAAAAATGTTCTGTGAATTGCAGCAGAATATATTACAAAAATATTGAGTCGTAACATTGGTTAAAATAAAAATGAAGTTGACACAAGTTTTTATCACTCTTTTTTAAAGATAAATTACTTAATGGATCCCAAATATTTGCCATTTTTTTGACACATTCCCTACGACATGGATTTATCTCACCTGATGGCAAATCTACTTGCTTATTTGCCTAGTAGAAATGAGATACTGTGTATATTAATTTATTTTTCTCAGTGTCAAAAAGAGTATATTTTTAGTCAATTTTATACATAGATTTCTATACCTACAACCGTGTTTGTTTTTGTTGTTCTTGCTACTTGTTAAGTAGGATCTGACCTATAGTTGAACTTCCAGTACTAACAGAGGGTTTTCATGGTCAGTAAATCTCTTAGGAGGAGACTGCTGATACTTCGGAGGAGCAGCTGGTGAACTCTAACTGCCTGCTTTCGCTATTTCAGGACAGCTTTTTGCTACTCGGCCACCAGAGCTCCCTATACTAATAATTGACAATATTTTTTTTCCATTTTAAAAATTGCAGTGCCTTTATTATCTTTATTGTTGCTGTTAGTACAAATTTTCTTTCTGCTGCACAAAATAAAGTACGTTGAAAAAAATTGTCTTTGTGAGGTCAGGAATTATGTTTTCTGTTGGTATTTAAAGAATATGAAATATTTATTACCTTCTCCCATAATGGTATGCCACTGAATCTTACACAGTAACATAAATATCTTCTTTAAGTCAAAGACTACTACTTAACCATAAGTTTCTGACTCAAAAGCCAAAACTACAATAAGATGATGCATTATATTGCACTGTTTGTACCATTAATTTGGAGTCAGAATGCCTTGTTTGATTCTTGGATCTGTCATTAATTAATATAACATTGGCCAATAACTAAACCATTCCAAGACTCAGTTTCCTCAACTATAAAATGGAAAAATAGAATTACCTATCTCATGTGGTTGTTCTGTAAATTAAATGTGTTAATAAATATAAAATCTCGAAAGTGTTCATAATGTTCTTGTTGTTGAGTATCACTGAGTCAGAACTCACCTATAGCTGATCCTCCAATGAGTTTCAGAGGCAGTAAATCACACAGAAGAAGATTGCTTATCCTTCTCCTGCAGAGCAGCTAGTGGATTCACATTATATGCCTTTGGGATTGCAGCACAGTTTTTTTTACCACTAGGCCATGAGTTTGTAAATTTTTTTGTGTGAAATTATGTTGACCAGTTCTGGTATATTAACAAGTTGATGATAAATATAAGGTAGTTTTAAAAAAAAATACAACACTGAGAAACAAAACTGAGGTGGGAAGCATAACACTCCCTGACCTCAAAACATACTACATAGCAGTAGTAACAAAAACGGCATGGTACTGGTACAATGACAGGCACACAGATCAGTGGAATAGAATTGACCAGCTGAGATTCAACAAGGAAATCAAAGCTATCAAATGGGGAAATGACAATCTTTTCAACAATTGGTACTTGCGAGATTAGACTTCTACCTATAGAAAGCTAAAACAGGATTCACATCACACATCACATACAAAAATCAACTCAAGGTGGGTCAGTGATCTGGGGGTAAAGCCCAAAACCATAACGTTCATAAGAGATAAACTGGGATCAAGCTTAGAAGCACTAGTCCAAGGTATGAAGAGACTGTCAAATACAGCCAGAAATGCACAATATGAAGAGGGTAAGATTGATGAATGGGACCTTCTAAACACTAAATTCAGGCATCAAAAACTTTTCCCAACAGGGTGATAAGAAAACCTACAGACTGGTTACAAATATTTGGTAATATAATCTCAGACAAATGTCTTATAATGAAAGTTTATAGACTACTCCTGGGCATCTGCAAGAAAAAGATTGATAACTCAATTATAAAATGGACAAAAGACAGGGAAAGAGTTTTCACAGAGGAAGATATTCAAAGTACAAACAGACACATGAAGAAATGCTCAAAATTACTAGCAATAAGAGAGATGCAAATCAAAATCACAGTGAGGTACCATTTCACTGCAGTAAAAGTGGTAAAGTTTAACAGGGCTGCAAGTAATAAATGTTGGAGAGGATTTTTCAAGATAGGGACTCTTATACATTGTTGATGGGAGTATATAATGGTACAACCATTCTGGAAGGCAGCTTGGCACTTCATCAAAAAGCTGAACATAGAAATTCCATATGACCCAGCTATTCCACTATTTGGAATATACCCTGAGAAAATGAGATCTGAAGCACAAACATAGATTTGTACATCAATGTTCATAGCAGCATTATTCACCATTGCAAGAACATGGAAACAGCCCAAATGTTCAACCACAAACGAATGGATTGAAAAATTGTGGTACATTCACACAATGGAATACTACGCAGCATGGAGGAGCAATGATTTTGTAAATTAGTACCTAACTTGGGAAGGACAGGAGATCTTTATGCTGAGTGAAGTAACTCAGTCCCACAAGGACAGATACTGTATAAAACCATTATTGTGGAATGAATATAAGGATCCAAAGAGGGTGGGGGAGGGTGAAAGCCTAGGGATGAGGATGTGCAGGGTGAGCGGAAGATTAACGATGGAGGTCTCTAATTTGATGGGTTAAGGGGTGAGGGAAATTGGAAGAATCTGTTCTCAAACACAATGCATTCAAATTGTAAATAAACTAGTTTAAAAGCAATAAATACAACAAATAATGAAAGAAGATGGAAGAAAGGAGTGAGAAAGAAAGGCAGGAAATGGGCTAGCTACTCTTTCTTATAGGTAATTTGATCATATATTTACTTCTGCCTATACCTTCTTAAATGTATTAATCATATCTTAACATCTATGTAGTGTCTATTTCGGTTGCAAATGTTTGACAGTTCTTAGTTATTGAACATATAAAAAAAGGATGTTATGTAAAAAAATGAATGAATGAAGAAATATATATATGTATGTGTGTGTAATTAGAAGATCTTGGCTATCTGAAACATAAAAGTCATAAAAATGTAGGGAGAAAAAGTATGTCTCATAAATTTCCTAAAAGTCCACAAAAAGCACTGCTCCAAAGGAATAGTCTCCAGAAATCACAGAAAAGATTAAATCAGAGAAATCATGAGTCGGTAGACTGAAATGTTAACAAATTTATCAGTCACTCTTTCTTCATTTCAGGCATATAAAACACCAAGGATTGATTCAACACCAACTAAAAGATAGTTCAAACTACGTGTTTTAATTCTTATTTTAAAATCCCAAGATGACAGAGCCTAGACAGTTTAGCCCACGCTATATATACCCTTGAAAAACATTCTCTAGAGTATGACAACCATCCTGAGACTGATAATTACTGTATTGACTGTACTGAATTGCCTTACTCACATACTCACTTTCTGGGTTGTCTGTGTTATGTAGGCTGACCACTGGGACACCTGGACCTGAATTTAAAAAAGAAACAAATTTGAAATACACACACACACATACACACACACACACACATTTATTTATATAATCATAAAGACTTAAAAGTCATAATTACGGAAAGGAATTATGAAAAAAGCAGCATTTCATGATTAAAATATAATGAAGTATAGACCCGTACAGTAAATTTATTTACTTCAATGGATATATTATGCATTAAAATAAGAATACTGGGAATAAAAACTATTTGTAAATATTTTTATTAAGGATTATTTTTTCCTAGAATGTAATTTAATTTTATATTTATTAGGCTTTAACTACTCTTAAATGCTTTATTCTGTCTTGTATTTTTTTTTAAAAAATTAAATGTTCAGGGATGTCTACAAAAGGAAATCATGATCCTGTGATATCCTCAAGCATTGATTCCAGATCGCATTTCATTTACTACTCATCAAAGAAAGAAAAAATCCCTATACATTAAAAATATTTTATCCAACACGTGACTAAAATATCTGAGGCTAATAATCCTCTTAATGAAGGAAATAAATTAATCAGAATTTCTAGTTATTTACTATGCTATCACAAGATTTTACCTTGAATCTTCACTTCTCTAAGTTTACCTTGGATCTTCACTTCTCTAAGGGACTCTATATAATGTCTACAGGCTTTTATAGTTTTAATCTTAATTCATTTTTTATCATTTTATTTCAGATGTCAAGAACAAATTATAAAAGCAACAATTGTTAGTAATTCCTCATATTGTCATAAAAAGAGAACTTATAACTGGAAAGGTTACATGTATTTAATCAGATTTTAATCAAATTTAATAAAATAATTTAATCAAATTTTAATCATATTTTAAATCAAACAAGTTTTATTACAATTCTGAGAAATTATTAAATTAAATAAATCTTAGAAATACCATATGAACATATAAGATGATACTTATCCCTATAATATTGTTCCTAAACAAAATAATTTTCCATATCACAAGTGACTCAATGGTACATAAAAACAGTAACATACTCTGACAGGCTTGGAAACAGGCGTGGCATCCATTTTTAAATAACATGCCTCCAGAAACTCTATGAACTTTTAATAAATGTCAATAGTTGTAGGCCTTTTGTTCATAGGTTGCTATGAGTTGTGCTCAACATGAAGACAATCAACAACAATTATATATAGTTGCCCATAGCTAAAGGCAGTTGGAGTAAATATATTTAATTTACAGTGGATCCCAATCAGTTGTTGCTTTTGCTATATAGACCAGGTAAACTAATTTATGGATTTGAAATGGCTTTATTATCACTTTTCACTTTCATATTAATTGTCCATTATATTAAATGTCCATTTTCAAATGACCCTTCTTAATTGCAAGTCTATTTCGACTTATGTATAATTTTTATTTCTAATTTGAATTCTGAATAAAATACTTATCTCAATTGATTCACAATTAATACACTTTTAACCAAAACACTTATGAATTAAAATTATCAAATCACATTGTTAACCAGTCAAAATATAAGTAATAAAAGATGCTGAATTACTAAAACACATTTCTCTAAAATTTTTGCATTTTCTTACCTTTACAGAATAATAAGAAATGTTGATTCATGGGACTGAAACTGGCACTAAAATACGTACAATGTTCTTTCATAAAATTACATGAAATGCACTGACGATTCAATAATCCTTCAGTAGAGGCACTGAGGAAAGAACACAATGTTAGTATGCTACCATTCTAGGCATGTGAATATCTATATGTGAATATTAACAGAACAGAGGAACTGTTCATTCCATAAAAATCATAGTGCTTTCATAGAAATTCCTGTAAATTGCAAATAAATTAAAAAAAAATCCTAAACCAACCAAACCTGTGAAGCCAATTTCCACGGTTAATGTTGTTGTTGTTATTGTTATTTACCATCAAGTCATCTATAATGCAGAGTAACACTATGTATAGCAGCTCTGAAGACTGCCCTGTCCTAAGCCAGTCTCACTGACTCCGACACACCAAGCCCCATTGTCCTACTCACAGTATCAACTCATCTCATCTGAAATCTTCCTCTCCTGCACTATCCCTCCACCCTTCTAAGTAGGATGTCCTTCTCCAAGGACCAGTTACTCCTGACCATTTGCCAAAATCCTAGCCTCCGAGGAGAAACTTGGTTTCACCCTCTCCAAGAGAGACCTATTTGTTTTCTTGGTGTTCCAAGGCATGTTCAAGAATCTTCTCCAGCACCATAACTCAAAGGTATAGTTTCTTCTTCTGTCATCCTTAGTCATTATCTAGCTCTCTGATGAATAACAAGTAATTGTGAAGACCATGGACTGGATCAGACACACCTTAGTCTCTAGACTGACATTGTTGCTTCTTGGAACTCTGGAAAGGTCCCCAAAAGCAGATTTACCTAATGCAACTCACTTTTTTAAATTTAATATTAAGACATAATTTTTTCAGTGTCCATCAATTCTTTCTGGTCAGTGATTCTGTGTATTCCCTCCATCTTCTTTTGATGCTTTCTGAATCATCTAATATATTGCCCATGATATCTTTCAACATTGAGGCACGAGGCTTACATTTTTTTCTGTTAGAAGAGGAATGTGGCATCAGAATTATAGGGAGACTCCTCAATAACCTGTGTTATGCAGATGACACAACCTTACTTGCTAAAAGTGAACAGGACTTGAAGCACTTTTTGCAGAAGATCAAAGAATGCAGTCTTCAGTATGGATTATGTCTCAATATCAAGAAAACAAAGATTCTTACCACTGGACCAATAGACTGTGTCATGATGGATGGAGAGGAGATTGAAACTGTTAACAGCTTCATCTTGCTTGGATCCACAATTAACACCCTTAGTATGAGCAGTCAGGAAATAAGGAGACAGACACATTGCAATGGGAAAATCTGCATGTAGGGACCTTTCCAAATTATCCAGGAGTAGAGATGTTAGTTTGAGGACAAAGGTGTGTTTGATTCAGGCCATGGTCTTTCCAATTATTAATTGTACATCTGACCTAAACAATGAATAAGGATGACAGAAAAATAATTGATGTTTTTGAGTTGTGTTGTTAGATAAGAGCACTGAAAATCCTAGGGATTTGAAAAGGGTGTAGCCAGAGTGTTCTCACAAACTTTGGACATGTTGTTAGCAGGCACTATTCCTTGGAGAGGGACATTATATTGGGAATGGTGGAGGATCAGCAAAGAAGAGGAAGACCCTCAACCAGGTAGATTGACAGGTATAATGACCAGGTATAATGAGCTCTTGTGTGTCAAAAAGTGTGAGGATGGGGCAGGACAGGACAGGTTCAGATCTTTTATTCATAAGGTCGCTGTGAGTCGTACTCGACTCGATGGCACCTAGCAACAACAACAACAACATCTGTATTTATACACATAAAATTAAATTTACGTGTATTTATGTACATATATGGAGCCCTGGTGAGACAGATGGCTAAGCTCGTTCAAGTGCTAATAAATAAAATTACTGGTTTGGACTGACTCATATGCTTTGAGATAGAAAGGCGTGACAATTTGCTTCTATAAAGATTCTATTTGAAATTATCACCAGGAAGAAAAAAAATTAAGTTGCATGGAAAAGGAAAATAATTTTGCTTAAAACCTATTGTATAATAAAACTTGGAAATTAAAACTCATTGTCATTAACCTGGAATCAACTCCCAGCTGACTCTTCAGGTTTTCAGGGACTATAAACCACACAGTAGGAGACCAAGGCCCTTTCTTCCATAGAGCAGCTAGTGGATTTGAAAGCTTGATTTACTCATGAGGTCACCAAATCTCCCTACTGAATAACAGAATAAATTAAAAATGTAAAAAAAAAAACTTAGAAAGAAATTACACGAAAATATTTGAGACAAATGACAATACTGCTTATAGATTAATTTATAAAAAGAAACCATTGTTAAAATGAACATGTTAATTCCAAAATTCCAAAGACTATATAGAAGGAATAAAGAGAAAGTTTTTGCAGACCCTCAGAAAAAAGAGTAAATATCAGTGCCAAAATAAATGAAACAAAAAGAAAAACAATGTGTGTCAGAGATTGTGAGGATGACAATGATAGGACAATATTCAGATATTGAGGCACAACCGCACTTAAAGAAATGAGCAACAGTATTTCTATCTAGCTGCTGGTGGTTTGGACCTGCCAGAGGCACAGAGTCCTGGAGTAAGATGACAACTTGTTAAGACAATGCCACTGGAGATCCTCATCCATGTATAACGTAACACAAAATTATGAAAATTGTTAGCCAGAGACATAAACCTTGAGGAAATTAGTCACTGAGTTTAGGGGCTTAAAAATACAGCCCTAGGAGGCAGCAAGATCAACTGTTTTAACCCAACATGGTCACAAAGATGATGTTTTAGATCTGACTGTGAGCAGTGACTACATGAGCAAAATAAAGGAATGAAAAATGAAGACATAAAAGAAACAATTTGTTCTAAAATTAACGGAATATGCAAATTGTAGCCAGCAAATATCATAATTTGCCCTAACTGGGACCATAGAAAGCCCTGGAAAAAATCGGAGAAAGATATAGAAGAAAAAGCCAAGCCTTAAAAAACAAAAAGTCAGATTTACTAGTCTGGCACTGATTGTTGGACCCCGAGACTAGGCCAGTATCCAATTTTAAAGCCTGGAACCATGTACACATCCATAGGTAACACTGCAGGTAAATAATACACGGACTTATATAGTAAACAATAAGAATGATGAAAGTCATAGTCCTCAGAATCTTTAACTATATGTGTTCAAAAGAGTAGGAATTTTCCCCAAAATAAAATTCAGGGTCAAGAAAGGATAAATGGAAACAGAGAACCTAAGGGGGAAGTGGGGAGAGTTTTGTTATGTTGAGGAAACATCAACGAACATTATAAAACAGAATGTTTTATGTTTTATACAAACTGTTAAAAGGGAAACTATGTACTCTGTAAACTTTCATCCAAACCATAATGAAAACCAACAAATAAGTGAATGGGAAGAATGAATAAATGTTTCTACAACTTAAACCATACAACAAGCTCATAAATTTCAAAATCTACTACTCTAAACATTTGCATTTGTCGTTAGAGCCAAACTTATTTCCCCACAAAAGTCTTACAGTATAATTTATATAGAAATAATTGTTGTTGTTGTTATGTGCCATCGAGTCTCTTGTAACTCATAGCGACCCTATGTACAACAGCCCTAAACTCTGCTCTGTCCTGTGCCAATCGCACTGTCTCTGACACTCCCATCCCGATTACCCCAGTCACTGAATCAATCCACCTCATAGAGGGCCTTCCCCTCCTGCACTGTCCCTCCACCCTCCCAAGTATGATGTCCCTCTCCAAGAACTGGTCCCTCCTTACAACATGTTAAGTATCATAATAAATATTATAATTTATTATAAAGAAAATCCATTTTTGTGTTGTAATAAGTATGATGCTGATAACAATTTAACTCAAGTTTCTCTGATGGTACAGTGAAGGGAATATTGAGCTGCTAACAAAATACTGTGGTTTGAACATCACAGTTTCAACATGGGAGAAAAGTGAGGTCTTATGCTCTGCTAAAGATGTGTGCTCACTCAGCAGCACATATACTAAAATTGGAATGATACAGAGAAGATTAGCATGACTCCTGTGCAAGGATGAGCAACAAATTCAGGGAGCTTTCCATATAAAATAACAACAACAAAATGATTTACAGCCCCTGTGGGGAAGTTTTACTCTGCCTTACAGGATCACTAGAAGTTACATTTCTTTTTTTCCAGAACACAAAAATCAAACTGATAACAAGTTTTAAGCATTGAACACTAATAATGGAAAACCAGATAAATAGTAGGATGACATTAAAGTTGCCATCTACGAAGAGACCAAATGGTCATTACAGAGAGGAGAAAAAAAATGGATGAGAGAGGAGACAAAAAATTGCACTAGAATATTTGAGAAGCAAAAACAAAGGAAAGATATGTCAAAGTCAAAGAGATTAATAGAGAATTTCAAAAGGCACCTCTAGAAGACAAAGAAAAGTATTATAACAGAATGTGCAGACAGCTGAGTTTGAAGAATAAAAAAGGAATAAGATACTTGGCATTTTTCAAGCTCAAAGAACTGAAAAACTAATTCAAGTTTCAACTTGCAGTACTGAGAGATGGTATGGAGAAAATCTTGAAAACAAAACAAAGAAGATGGAGGAAATTCAGAGTGCAACTGTCCCAAAAATAACCTGTCGACACTGAAATTTTTCAGGAAGAAGTATATGGTAAAGAGCCAATGGTGATGATGGAAGAAGCTTATGGTGCACTGAACTCATTGGCAAACAAAATAAGGTCCCAAGAATTGATAGGATACCAATTTACATGGTTAAAGAGATATATGCAGCCCCAGTGATCTCACCAGCCTGTGCCAGGAAGAGATCAGTATTTTTTCCCATTCCCAAAAAAGCCGATGCAACAAAATGTAGAAATTATCAAACAATATTAATCATATCATTTGCAAGCAAAATATTGAAGATCATTAAAAAATGGCTAGAAATTTGAAAGAAAACTACCAGAAATTCAAGCAGGATTTAGAAGAGGCATGGCACCAGGCATATTATTGCTGATGTCAGAATGGATCTTGTTAAAAAGCAGAGCATACCAGAAAAAAAAGAAGTCTTTTTGTGCTTCATTGCCTATGCAAAGGCATTTTTTG